AGAATCTGCTCTGTCAGCCACAGTCCCACCTGTGTGTGACGTCACCACAGGCCCAGCCGCTTCTGTCAACAGTCCCCTCCCAGTCACACTGGATCCGGCAGCCTGTCTTGATGACACTGTGAATGGCTCATCTCTTCAGTCCCCGTTCTGCAAAGTCTGCCTCCTGCTATTGGTCTAACTACTCAGGCCCCTCCTCTTAGTCCTTACTACAAAGCTGCAGGAGCTAATGTTCAGGACTAAAGAGAGGTACCAGACAAACCCTTCACTCACATGAAGCCCTCACAGCTTCCCGCAGCACTGAGGCCTGCAATACACCGTCTGCTGGAGGCCCCTCACGTGGACCCCACGGACACAGTTTCTCTCCCTCTGCTGTCATGTCTATCTGCCAGCCTTGTCCATCCCAGAAGATTGTATCAAGCGCTGACCTTCAACAAAATCGAATACTGTCCTGTCTCTACTTCTCAGAAGTCTCTTCATGTGCACATTCTTCTACTGCGTTCCCTGAATGCCCAACTTCAAGCTGGATCACCTTTCCCACACTTTCTCACGCCTTCTAAATCCGTTTCATCATCTCTACGTGCAGCATCACTTCTACATGCCTACGTGATGTGTGTAGGCATGTTCACATGTGTGTGGGTGCACCTGTCTGCACATGCATGTGAAGGGCCGAAGTTGGTATCTGGTGTCTTCCTCCACCACTCTCCATCACATTTACAAGGCAGCGTCTCTCGCTGAACCCAGCTTAGCAGTTCCGGCGAGCTCAGCTCACCAGCTTGCCCCAGGGTTCCAGTCTCTGCCTGAGTGCGGGAGTCAGAGGCTGCTGCACATCTACCTGGCTCTGACACATGCTCTGGTATCTAGAGACTTCTCCATGCTTGGAAGAAAAGCTCCAAGGAGTCTTTCTCCAGCCACTAGACTGTTTTTAACTAACTTATTCCTTCTCTTCCTCACTAAGAAGTGACACAAAACAAAAACCAAAGATCACGTCTCACTCAACACCTCAGCCTGTCTGTGGTACACGGGCTGCATTCCACACCCTTTTATGACCCAGTGCAGGCTGGATCTCCCTGGACGGCACGCACCTGGTGTACTCCCTGCACTGGGATGAGTGGCGGCAGTACCACACCCGACCCAAACCGCTTTCTGAGTAACTGGACGGGTGTCTAAGATGCTGCAGAGCATAACACAGTAGGCTCTTGATAAACAGGTATTTAATGCATCAGAAAACCACATGCTTAAATTCTAGAGAAATACAAAGTTAGCAATACCCTCTTGAGCAGCCTAGGCCAACAGAAGTATGTGTTCAAATAGCATACTGACAAAAGGCAACCTGAGACAGGTCGCCATCGCAAGTGTGTTGGGGGAGAATGCTCACGTTTCTCAGTAGGGACTCTGGCTGGGGAGAGGCAGGTACGCCTGTTCAGAGCTGAACCCAGAGTGGGGCCTCCGCAGCTGCAGGGAAAAACAGGCCTGCAGGAAGGCAGTTAAGTGTAGGAAAGCAAAGTCACCAGGTAACAGAGACCAGGGCTTACATTTCCTGAGAACAAAATGAGCTCTTCTAACACGGCTTCTGCCTAAAGAGACATACAGCGAAAGCGAGGAGAGCTTCTTATTATCCATCTAATTTATTTATAAAAAGGAATCTTATGAAATTGGGCTCAATTGGCAGCTCCTAGATAGAAATCATCAGAGAAAATGTTTGCTTTGCCAATCTGAAAACAAGCGGGAATCAGGGCACTGACATTACTCTAAATGACTGCATCTTCAGATGTTCCACGGAGCCGTACCCAAGCTTTCCTAGGAAATCCTCCAGGTTTTCAGACAGTGCCCTGGCTAACAGAAAAGGCGCTCAGATCCACAGGGCTGTGTGCAACCGCTTCCCTTGTGGCTGGTTAGCGCTGCCATGCAGGCCCTTTCAGCATTCAGCTGTCCCTCAACTGTAGCTCAATCACCAACTAACTTTGCTGGGCTGGGGACAGAAGGCCTGCTCCCAGGGTTGCGTCTTCAGTTCAGAATCTAGTTGGTCAGATATGTAAATGAATTTATTACAGTGCTACTATAACTTGCAACTTTACATAATTTCTCTGGGGCCCCAGTTGCCTCCTCTTAAAATAAAGACTCCTGTAAGGTTCAACAGAGTCAGCATGACAGAGAGTTCTGCAAGACTAGGTAAATTCCTGGTCTATACATCACCAAGGATACCTTTGGACTCTGGGACGCAGTATCCATCAACAAAGGATAAGCTAATGTTTACTGTGCACCCGCTTTTACTTTAATATGTGGAGTCTGTATGACCTGGGGGCTCAGGTGTGTACATGTTCCAAGGGGTTTGGGAAGGGCATGTCCTGGGAAGCAACCCGCTTGTTCTGCTTCCCACCAGAGTCTCTGGCTAGGGCAGCCACTGCTTCAGTGCGCTCTTCGGGAGCTCTACAGTGTGCGGCTGTGCTGTGCTGCACTTTCTACTTTTCTTCTTGTGAGTGAATCTGAATGCTCCTCTGGGCTCCTTTAGGATCCCGTGCTCTTGCCATCTGTCTCAACGCATCAGCCACTGTCTCTGATACTCTCCTGCACACAGCAGTGACCTCCCAAGCACACAGGGCTTACAGCCTGCTCTGCGATCTGCAGAGAGCTGGACTCTTGGTTCGAATACCAGCACTGGCCAGATGATGCCACGACAGCAAAGGGACAGGAGGACAGGACCCCGCACACTTTTCAAGCTAATGCTGCTGCAATGTGCAGAATGAAGAAAGGACTGGAGGGGAGCTGTGTTTAGAGAGGCAAGGCCAGCCAGAGACTCACAGCCATACATCAGTCGATATAGACTCACAGCTGGCCACCAGCAGGAATTCTACTAAAGAACACTTCTAGTTGCCCCCTCCCCCGCAGTTCTGGGACTAGGCCCCCACACTTGGTGCATGATAGGCGTATACCACTGAGTTACACTCCCAGGTCCCAGGACGTTCAATTTTTAAACAGTTACGGAATACTGACATAAACTTCTAAAGAGATTGGTGAAAAGTGAGCACAAGTTGCTTGAGAAAGAGGTATTTCCCCTCTGTCTAAATCTAGAACAATACGTACATTTGTGACGTGGGGACAGACACGCTGTGAGGAGAAAGCCACCATAAGAAGACCTAGCCCCATCAGCTCCCAACAAACACCACTAAAAGCAACCAGCCTGTCCCCAAGTGGTCAGCAGGGGTGGTCTGGTTCACGGCAGCATGGATGGGGGCTAGTTTGGTGTCAAGGTCTGCTGTATAGACGCCAACTAGACTCTTAAGCCCTTCTCATCTTAGGGGCTCGACAGTGGCTCGGCATGCCAGCTCTAGTTAGCTCTCTGTCATTTCAGACAGACATATTTGTTGTCTCCTGCAGGGAGGGGGAGGGGCTATGTCTGCAAGCTCTTTGGACTTGGTCATTCAATTGTTTGTGCTATTATTTTAAATCTTCACAGAAGGAAATGGGCATTGTAAGCATTTCTTCTCCCTCAAAAGGAAAAAAAATCAAATTTCAATAAAATATTTCTGCCTATTTATGGTGTTACTGTTTATTTGCCTGTATTTTGCTTTTAGGAAGTTATTACAGAATGGCAGCTTGTGACAGTGGAGAAGAGAAAACCTGACAGCTGAGAGAACACAGCTGTACTTGTGCAAGGTGTGAAGTGTCGCTAGCTACAAGCAGACTTTCTAGCAAGGGAAGCTTAGAGAGTAGAGGGTGAAAAGCCTCCACACCGAGCCACTGTACGTAGTAAAGAATCACGTGTCCCAACCAAGTATCTACAGGAGGAAATTCAAACGCAGGACAAAGCACTAGATTAGGCAATTATTTGTATTATATAGAGGAATGTTTATTACTAAAAATGTCCCATGAAGATAAAACTTACATCTCTCTCTCTCACAAACAAGGAGTTTCATAGAGGCCAGGAAAGATGCATAGCCTCCGACCTGCCTCTGCCACAAGTGACTGTGAGTACCCACGCGGGGCAGAGCATGGGAGACCGTGAGCACCCATGTGGGGCAGGGCACAGGAGACCGTGAGCACCCATGTGGGGCAGGGCACAGGAGACCGTGAGCACCCACACGGGGCAGAGCATGGTTGACTGTGAACATCCACATGGAGCAGGGCAGGCTCTTCTTTCCCTGGGCTATGGAATCATTCTGAGAGTCAAGCAGAGAAAGTGTACACGAAAGCATGCTTTTGTGCTGAAGAGCCCCGTGGATGCTATACAAGGCAGTTATTGCCGGACAGTGAGCCTACCAACACTCTATTCACTGTGTGAGTGCCAACCTAAGCCACCAAGCTGGTATCTAGGTTCATGACAATGTTACACAAATGGACCTGCAGGCTCCATTCTACTCTAGCCTTCATCAACTAAAGAAAAGAACCTTTTTAAAGGAAATGCTGAGATTTTGTGCTACTTATGAACTTAAATACATAACAGACAGTTTAAAAGAGATATTTTATACCACCACTGATGTGTGTTTATTTATTCATGTACCCTTTGGCTCACAAAGCAAGCTTTATCCCTACTA